CAAAAGGGTTGTCAGGCTCTGGAATGGGCTGCCCAGGGAGGTGGTAGAGTCCTCCTCCCTGGAGGTATTTAAAAGAAGGATAGATGAGGTGCTTAGGGACATGGTTTAGTGGTGGGATGGCAGGGTTAGGTTAAAGGTTGGACTCGATGATCTCAGAGGTCTTTTCCAACCAAAGTGATTCTATGATTCTATCATTCTAGGCGTTACAAGTTCCTGTTACATTAAGGTTATGTTAGGGCACTGTTCATTTCACCCTAAAGCAGATACTCACGTTCTGGAAGTTCTTTTTTTGTTTTTCCACTGAATATAATGAAAACTGAGGATGTTAGTCCAGACGTAGAAAATGTCAGCAGGACAGATATCTGAGCAGAAGGTAAGTTGAACACCTCCCAGAGGTGCTCCTAATCCTGGACTGCTGTCAGTGTAGCATTTTTAATATCTTCACTGATAACTGATTTACATAAATTTGTCTCTTCTGATCTTAACTACCCTTCCCATCTTTAGAGCACTTTTTCTTTAGGCAGGTTAATTTCAGCATTGAAGCCTGGCATAAATTGCTGGTCTCCATGTCTGATCTGTTGTCCAGAACATCTCCGAAATGTAAAGCTTCCCCCTGCACCCTCATTTCAGTTACAAATAACATATTTTAATTTGTTACTTGTACTTTCGTCATTTTTATTCATTTTTAATTAAATGTTCTGGATTCAGTCAGCGATACTTCAGCTCAAACTGCATGTGCTTTGCTTGTGGCTGAGTCATAATCATCTTCCTCATAAGCAGGGACCTGTCACTGTCTCCTGATTTAGTTTTGTCTGCAGGCTTTCATCCATAGCCTTCCTTTATGTTCCCGTTTCAGAACTGGCCCCTTGTATCAAAGCATGGTGTGAATAAGTCTGCTTCCCTGGGTCAGGGCTACCATGAAAATGTGCTGTTACCATGCCTTAGTGTCTGTAGTTCAGTGTCGTGTAACCGTGCATGTAGGAACAGGGTATGTTTCCATGGCCCAAGTCCACATAAACATGTAGCCCAGAGCTTTCTGCAGGAAAACTTGCTTTGCCTCAAACAGAATATTGATGTTTGCCTTTCCCAGTATTACTTTTAAATACAGATTCCTTGCTAACCACACGTGACGGTACAGTGCCTGTGGTAGCAGGCAGAGCTCGGAAGTCCCGTTTGGTCTTAGGTTGTGGATGTGGGCAGGTTAAGAACAAGCTAGTGTTCAGGGATTGTCGTAATTGCAGTTGGTGTTGAGTTTGGTGTTTCTCTGAGGTTGTTGCAGTTAATTCTTTTGCATGTTGTAGAGCTATTGTATAATTATCTTATTTATATGTCAGTCCTAGCTTTTTCCCATTGGTAAGTGAAAATAGGGTGGAGATGCCCTTTGGACATATTCCTCTTGGTCTGCGTTTAAGCACATGCTACTGCTGAGGAAAGCAATCCGATACTGACCCATCTGAATACTGGCACAGCCACTCAGCAAGCATGATCAGGAAACTGATGTAGAAATAAAAATAAACAGAGCAAACCAAACCTCCTTTTTTGCTATATTGTCATTCTCCAGGAGAGAAAAAGTTACTTTTCAGTTGATCAGTAAGAAACCAATCAGGCTCAAAAGCTTTTGTATTGACACGCCACAGTGCCTTGGGGATAGGACTGCTCTCTTTGGAGGAGAGGTGTGACCACCTAAACACATGCCAGATGATAACCTTAAAAGTACAATTTCTCATGGAGTAAGCTGCAGAGGAGTCTTACGCTACTTCTCTTTGCATCAGTCCTGCAAAATTTCTAAATGTCAAATTTATCTAGGTTAGACTTAACTAACAGGGGTCATGACAAACTCCAAAAGGATGTTTGAAGACAGGCAGCATGATAAGAGCTGAGCTGTGTGCCCAGCAGACTCAGAGCCAGTAACTGCAGCCCTTTGTTGCTGCCTGTTCTTTTCCACTTTTAATTGGACACTGGGTTAATTTTTACATCAGTGATTTCCCCTGAGGGGAAAGATTGAAGAAGTCATAGCAGTAGTCGTTTCTAAAGGAGATGCATCCAGGGGAAGAGGAAAGCAGGTGCTTTCATCAAGATGTGGACCAGAGCTGGGGTCGCAGGTTCTGCATTGTGGTTGTTTGCATCCTGCTCCAGGACCTCCTAGTTTCTCTGATGAGCAGTGCTGTATTATCTTTAGGTTCCTGTGCAGTTTAGCAGAAAGACAAGACATGTTATGTCAGAAAACTAGGTATGTTTCTATTGAATGGTTCTTGGTTTGTTTTTTTTCCCGTACCTTGTTTAAAAAAAAAGAAAAGAAGAGGGAGAGATGTTTCTGTGTTTTCCTCAACATCTTTTCCTAGCACCCTGCCACTGACTGTCTGACCCATGATACTATTCTGAACAGATCTTTGGGGACTGAAATTGTTGTGAGTGCTCAGGCCCCTTCCCCTTCCTGCAATTATATCTTCCTGAAATGCATCCTGTGCAAGGGTGAAGATCAGCGAGAGGCAATGCTGAAAGACAAAGCAGTGGAGATTGATACAGCGTCTGCGCTGGAAGCAAGGCTGTTCTTGAAGGATATGTCTGCAAACCGTTTGGTCTTGAGGTCTATATTGAATAGTTTTACAAATGAGCAAACTTTAAAAAATAGATAAAGACAAACAACCACCTCCTAATAGCAATGTAGGGTGTAAACCACAAATGCAAGATTCCGTTTTTCCCCCTGTCGTCAGGCTTCATCTGGAGAGAGCATTAGGTGGGGATGCAGAGGTTGTTTGGTCTTCATGGACTAGTGATTTAGAAACCTCATGCTTGCTTTACCAGGATGGGACTGATGGCACCAAGCTTGAAAACGAATGTTGAGAGCTCTGCAGTTTTTGTCCTGTCTTCGCAACCCGTTGGCACTGGCGTTATACAGCCTCTGCTTCTGGCTCTCTGCTGGGATATCTGTAACTTTTCCTGGGCCTGTATGGAGTTCCATCTTCCTTTGCAGTCATGACCTTTTACCGTAGCCGTCTTGCAGTGTAGCTATGAAACTGCTGACAGAGCTGGGGAAGTGGTTGCAAGGCTTGTGAGCACGTGTGCCAGGGCTTCTGTGATGGCCAGAATAAGATGAGCAATCTCTGCCAAATGAAATGGGAATGACCTTGTATGCACAGACATTAGTTTAACATTCAAATCTTAAATTTAGATTTCCTACAATGAATTATCCTTAGGTAATATTTTTTAGGAAAATCTTGCCATCTAGCTTGATTCTACCTCCCTTGAAGGAAAAGGAAGGAGAAGCAGAAAGAAATGTTTTGTTTTATGTAAAGTTACAGGAGCAGACTGACTACTGCAGTGAAATCCATCCTGTGAATGTGAGGAGACTTCTCATCCCTTTCTTCTGCCTGTAAGGCCGGCCTTGCTGAGACTGCAGAAGCAGAGATCAGTGGGCAATACGAGAAAAAAGTAGGAATGACTTGTAACTAGTACTGATCTGAATCTAGCTTTGAGTCGGAAATTCTGATGTGAAAGACTCTTTGTCCTGTCACTGTCACCCCAGAGCATCTTAAACAGGGGTGAGGAGACATCATATCAAAAATTCTTAGAAATGTTTGTTAATTTTTATTGGGTTTGTATATGGCAAATTCTGGGAAGCAGTCCATGAGAGCAGCGAGTGGAGTAGTTCTTCCCCTGTCGTGGTTGCTCAGATATGGTGTCTTTCTCCTGGGAAGCAAGTCATACAGTGCGGTTATTTTGGCTTGGCAAACTTCCCGCACAAGGTCAGCATTGCCATTACACTGGTAGCACAGCATCATCATGCTTTAAATGTACTAGCTGCAGAGGTTGTAAATGACTACTGATTTTTTTGAATGCTGCAATGTTTAAGTATTCAGCTTGAGGCATTTTATTAAAGGGGCCTCATTACCAGAGCAAGTGCCAAGTACTTTCAAAACTCTGTGCCTATTTAAAGTAGCTCATATTGGGCATAATTAATCACTGCTAAGGCTTAAAACCTTTGGTGTATAGTGCATCTGGGAGCAGGTAGCTATGAGACTGAGCAGAGGAATCCCCTTTCTCTTCCCTCTTTAGTAAAAGCTCTTTTCTGGACACAAAGGTCCAATTGCTGCTATTTCTTGTATAGTGTGGAGAGCATAGCAATATGTGGGCAGCAAACTAATGCAAAGTGCTCTCCTGCCTAGTGTTTCATTGTTCTTTCTGCCTGAGGCTTTGCAACCTTGGTCTTTTTTAGTTAAAATCTTTAAACAATGGATTATCTGTTTTCACAGGCTTTAGAGGATTTGAAATAGCAGTCACCCTTAGGCATTTGGCTCAAGATTACAGCAATAAATACATTCATCAGAGCCCCCTGGCCCTTCCAAGAACCAGGCAGTCATAAGATTACCTCTACTGTATTCTTCTGCTTCTAACTCCAGTGAAGCGTGTCAACCTCTTAACGATTCGAGGTAAGCCATGGTCCTCCTGACCATTTGCACTCAGATGGTTTGTGAGAAAGGGGGTTGTGTGTGAAGAGGTTGAGAGCACCTACAACAGGGGACCTTCACTCTTGCTGGGACGTTGGCTTGTTACTGTGTTACCAATCTGGATTTTCCAGGAGATAAGAAACCTGTTTTGAAAGCCCGCATTACTTTTTTCCCCCAAAGCCCAGCAGTCTGAAAATTTCATATGGCTTTACAGTTTCAAATTGTAACATGACTTTAATCGATATTGATGCTTCTGATCTTTGTGTGCAAGCTGCTATTCTTCTGAAAGATGGTGCTGGGCCTGGAAGGCCCCATACCAGAGATTACAAACCAGTTGCCACCCAGTTGTGATATCTGACGTGGCAATTTCTGTAAGAGCGCTTCCTGATTGAGCTGTTCAAACAGTGAATGTGATGTTTTTCTTCTGTTACTATGAGATCTAAAGTAGTTTACAGATATCAGGCATTCTGCTGTGTTGCTTTGGAGAAAGATGTCAGCTGTCAGGTGGAGACCCAAAAGTCAGTTCCAATAAAAAGCTACATTTTCTAAAGCAGTTTATTTCTGGTTAGAAGAGCTGTTTGTCACATGACTTTGCATGGGCTGTGCTTTGCACAATGGGACTTACTTTCTTCTAAAGAGCAGCTTTATCTTAGGAAAGCTCATTGCACAGAGAGATCTGTGATGTCCACACATCTGAGGGCCTGTGAAGATTTCCACCCCTAACAGATTCTATTGATTTTCAGCAAGTGCTATTTTCCAGCCTTCTGAGCTGTTCTTATCACACCACATCGTGCTGCTCATCACAATTAAATAGCATGTGCTGGTTGGCCACTGGCTTTATCAAAAGACACTCCCAGCACAGGTACGCAAATTGGAAAAGGAGGAAATTCCATTCTCTTTGGAAGGTTTTTGTACTTTGCTCATTTTTTTTGTCTTCCTTCCAGCAAGTAAGTAACAATAAACTTTTACTAAACCACAGTGTATGTTTTCAAAGTATATAATACACATTACCTTTGCCTTGGAAAACTTTGAGCTTACTTTTCAGCAAAAGATACAAGTATTTAAAGCATTTGTAAATAGAGCTGAGTCAGATTCAGCACTTTGCCCTGTAAATTTTCATCAGAAGATGGTGGAAGCATGGGGTCTTTTGGGGGGGCTAATACTTAAAACAGTCACAGCATTTTCTACCGTAGTTTTAGAATTATGAGAACTGGTAACTTAACTAAGCAACGTAGTGGGTTTGTGTCTGCACTCTAGAGGATGTGTATATTGAGGCTGGTGTCTTTCACTGATGTGGATAGGTGGGATAGGGAAATGAATGTGAACTGTCATGGACATGAATATCTGATGAAAATTTGTTACTGTGTTTTTGACTATCAAAAAGAATAGAAGTGTATATACAAAATACATATAGTATGTGGTTATTGATGTTGCATTACAGCTAGAATACTCTTTTGTGTTCCCATGAGAATTAGCTGAGAGATACAATGTCAAGGGAGTAAATGTAGCTTAAGCATGCTTAAGACTCTGTAGAGCTGATTAGAAATTCCGAAGATGTCACCCCGACTGAGCACGTGTGGGTCTGGTTCCTCCCCTGAGTTGCAGGTCCCTGCCCGTTTGCACTGGAGTTGCACCAGAACTGAGAACCTGTCCTGTAGTCTGGACTCTGCTGTCTCTATACAGAAGGGACAGGAGGGAGCTCCTGTGCTGGGGCATCCAGGGACTGTGAGCTGGAGCAGGCCAGCGCACAGCCTGATCCTTAAAGGAGACAGAGGCTGAAGGCGTAAGCTGTGGGAAACGAAGACTATGGCTGCTGGAAAAAGATGTCTGATTCTAGGAAACGAATGGGGTTCATAGAAATGGTGGACGTGCTGAGGTGCTAGTAGGTTTTTGGGTGCTAATGAAATGGAAAATATTTCATCAGGAGGGTACTGCATCTGTCGGCTTGTGTTGCCAAAAGGGAAATGTTAGACAGGGATCTGACAGGTGACCAGCAAGGACGGGCAAGTATGGCACGAGGAACATGAGAAGGTTAGATTGTAAGAGGGTAGGTGGGAGAGACAGGCTTTGGAGGAGAAAAGAAGGTGAAATAGCTAAGATACAGATAGCAAGAACTAGATACAAAGGTTTGTAGAACCTTCTTGTGCCTTGAGTGGAATCTGGGTCTCTGAATCTGAAGACCTGGCTGTCAGAGAATACCTAAAACCTTCTGGCAATGTGGCTTCCATTTTATAGTTCTCCCACACGGAGAACCACCTATAGTTGCTATAACTTACGGTTAGCTCGAGATGCCCCTGTGCCAGATCAAGTGATAGCTCTGCCCACGTGATACCAGTGAGATGATTATGTAGTGGAATTAATCATTTAGGATTTTGTTTTAACATGGAAATTGGAGACCAGAGGAAAGACACTGAGGCATGTATATGGATGTACACCACCATATTCAGATATTCTGAAGGTTGTGAGGACAAATACTCATGATACAACATACCAGAACTAATTTTGCTTATACAACCTTAATGCATCCCCCTTAAATAAAATAATTTCTGACTTACATGGATCATGAAAATACAAGGGGGAAACCTTAATTTTCCCAAATCTTTTCTTTTGATTCTACAATCTAGACATGTTTTATAGTAGTTACTGTAAGGAAGAAAGCATGCTACAGATTGAAGGGGTTTTTGTATCTACTGGCATTGACTGAACTTTTGGAACCCAACAGTGTGATTAAGCAAGCACTGCCTGTGTATTCATTCTTCTCACTGGTGTTACAGTGGTATGTGCAATTTGCAGCCTTGGAATACTAGATCTCGAGATCTGAACTTGCTGTGTTCACTAGGACTTGTTCCGTGTCTTTGGGGAATAATGAGTTGCAAAAAAAGTCATACCTTGAATTACTTCCTCTATTTTGTCCTTTGCTGTTCTCTTCTATGACAATAGCGTTAGTGTTTTGGCCTAAACAATAGTGAAGCTTTGCTAGCATGCAGCAAGAAAACCCCATAAATCTTAAGCACTTTTAAAGAAAAAGGAAGCGGAGAGGTTGAGGGTGGGAGGTCCTGTGAAACAGCTTAATATACAGCTTATGAGTCAGTAATTTCCTTTCCTTTTGCAGTCATCCAGATGGGCTATTTTATTTTTCCTTATCAAGTCAGTCTCTTCTTCTACCCCGTTTCTTTAGGGAAAAAACGGCAAGAATAACATGCAGTGGTGACACAGGTGTTTTTCAGGCCATGAAACGTAGACCAAGGCAGGAATCCGCTGCTGGAGCAGCAGATCCCGCAGATAGCAGGGTAAATGATGATCAGATCCCTCTCCTAATCCATCTGCTGCATGTCCTAACAACCCAGATCACTGACCACCTTGAGTTTGTCTTCCCTGTGAAGAAGTGTGCAGCTTCAGAATATATTCTGACATCGTAGCTAACACGCAGAGTCTTTACGCAAAACAAGTTATTGTGAGTGATTGTGAGGAAAACCTTTCAGACTCAAGACTGAAGCAATAGTTAGGAGAGTTATGGCTCCCTTTTAATCTCAGTGGCATATTACCATAGAGTCATTTCTATGGTTATACTTTTTCAAGTTTCCTTTTGAGGGGAAAAAACAACCTACTTTTTATTATTGTTTTCTACATCAAGAATTAAATGTTATTTTTCCAGGAGGATTGCTCCTTTTGTAATTTATATCTGTAGGGATTTAAATTTGGGGGCTCTTAGGGGAGTTGCTGTGTTTTCAGTGGACTTGAGTATCCTTTGTTACATTCATTAGTCCTGTTTGTGTTGCACGCGGTGATGGAGCTGAGCAGTCCTGTGATTTGGTACTTCCTTCTAAAGCAGTCCTGAATAAAAATCTCTGTGTAATGAGTGCTTCATTAGGTACTGTAATTAAAGCAGACCCATTTTTCCATATTACCTAGTCCAAATCCATGTCTTCACATTGAAGAGACCAAAGCAGTTAACCATCAGTTGATCACTGTGTTAAAACAAAAAAATGCTTCACCTCTGCTCTGTTGCAAGGCCACCTCGTTGTAAGACTCCTGCTGGCAACCTGCGTCCAAACTGTGAGGTGTCTGCCTCTTTTGTAACTTTGTGGAAATTGGTATCTAAATGGTGTTTTTATTTATTTAGCCTTAGGAGATTTCCACTAGAGAAGGGAAGAGGCAGGCCTTGCCAGAAGCTTCCTACTTGGCATAGTCAGCATCCAGATTTACCGAGAATCACAGGACGCAGCAAACATCGGTGTTAGTGCGTGCTGACCCATGGCTTGCGGGGTCCTGCACAGGGCTGGTTGTGAGCCACCTGCCCTTTGCGGGGAAAAGGAAGGCTGGTGGTGGGAGCAGGCGTCAGGTCTTCTGGAGCAGAAAGTTGAGGCAGGAGACAGCCACAGGCTTTGCCGATGGATTTAAAAAAACAAACAGGAAGTGAGTCACGTTCCTCTACCTCTGTCAGCAACACCCACAGGAAAAAGTCACTGGATACATGTTTTCCATATTAAAAACCAAACTTATTGTGCGAGGTGTTGAGGCTTGGAAGAGACACTTAGGCAGAAGAGGGAAAATCGATGCGGAGAAGTCCGTTTTTAAATGTTTTTAAAAGGAACTTAAAGGAGATGTTGATTTGTGATTGACCTTTTCATTTTGCGCCCAATGTTGAATTTGGCTGTTTTGAACCTCTAGGTAGTTTCTCTGTGCTAGAAGTTATTTTTTGGGATCAAATGGAAAACGGCATTTGCTCGAGGCCTTTTTGTAAAATGCTCTTGCCTTTTATCTTGTCTGCATAACGTGCATCGGTGGAAGGTGCCTGCTGTGCCTACTATTCCCGCCCTCCTTGACTCCTTAATTAGCAAGTAAGTATTTTTAGTTATTTATCAGTCCTATTTCAGGGAAAGGTAAAAGCGGGTGCATTGAGGAGAACACAGGTTACTCATTGGAGACGGTTAAACTGAATTCTCAGTGATGAAAGGAGAGAAAGAGGAAAACAGTAGCTT